TCAAAGGAAGGAGTATAGGTGTAAACCTCTTGCAAACTGTAAAGTATTTCATAAATCCAAGATATTTGTATTATGATTTATATGGTGATTATCTGAGTCCCAATGCATTTATACTTTAGCCCATTTAAATGTGCCTTTGTGTTACTCATTGAGGGGGTTGGGGGGTTGGAGGTGGTTTCCAAGCTATTTATCTCAAAGGGAGTCATGGTTGTGACCCCATGTAATTTCTCACAGCCCAGGCCCTCACCGATGCATTGGTTGATGGGTGAATCTTCATGTGAGGGAGGGTGAAGAAGAGATGATGAGGCCAGTGATGCTTTTTGAGAGCTTTTGCTGAGTTTGTATGGATACATTATGATTTATGCTGCATCTGGTAGAAGTGCTGCGCACATCACAGATGGAGAGGAAACTCTGTAGATCTGGCAGCAGCCTGGGTTGGATGGTTGGAGAAAGCCGTTATATCTGTCCCGTATCTGGCACCTTTATGCTTCCTGGGGGTGGAGGAGAAAGGACCGGGGACTCTCCAGTGACTCCCTTCCAGGTCTTGGCATTGTGAGAACGCAGTTATTTTCCTTTGTAGGACTGTCACCAAGCCTAACTGATTCCATTTTCTCTACCCATCCCTTTCCCATGGCATCTTTCCCAGCTACTATACGCCCCTTAAAGACAGAGATGGTGTATGATTGTGCACCCACGGCCTAACGCACAGTGCCAGGCACATGGTCCCCAATTTCAGGGTTTATGGAATGACTCACGCTCTAACCTGGAGATGAAGGAGGCTCTGGCAGTTTATAGGTTTCAACAGCTGGGAATGCAGCCCAACTGCTTCCAGAAAACATACAAGAGAGAAGGGAGTGGGATGTATCATTACCCATGTCTAAAAATCTGATTACTAATTAATATGTAAGTGCTAAGTCACCACAAATGACAGGTGGTCTGATGAATTGGGGAGGGGGGGGAAAGTGCAGACAGGCCATCTCTCAGATTATTGAGGGAAAGCAGGAAGTGGGGCGTGCAGGGTTGCTTTAAGTGGGGGAATGTAAATGGTGAGAGCTGCCTCCAAGGGCTTCCTGTCCAACTCCATGGGGGAGTAGAAGACAGTGGGATACATGAAGGGCTGCCACAAGGCTTACAAAGGGTGGTGCCAGGGCCATTAGAGTGGCATGACCATAGGAGTCTGGCAGGGTTTTGAATCTGAGCTCTCTCCCTAGCCTTTATGTGACTTTGGGCACGTCGGGCTTCAACCTCCAGTTTCACATCTCTAAAACAGGGACAATAATATCTATCTCAGAGGGTTGTGGTGAGGACCAACTAGATCACAAGTGAAAGCGTCCAGTGGTTTCTGGCACTTACAACACGTTCAGTCAGTGTAAGTTTACTATTATAATCTCACTAGCTTGGGCAATGTACTCTTCTGAACCTCAGTTTCGTCATCAGTAAAGACAGAATACATGAAGGTGCCTGGCACACAGTTGATATTCAATAAAGGAGTGTCTTTATTTTTAACTTTTAAAAATATTTGGAAACAATTTTATACTTAAAGTTGCAAAAACACTAGAGAGTTTCCCTTATATCTTATACCCAAGCTTCCCCTAATGTTAACATTGTACATAATCATAGTGCAATGATCAAAACCAGGAAATTAACACTGGAAATTAACAATGTGATGCTATTAACTAAGCTTATTCCTTTGTCTTTTTCCGTTCCAGGTCCCAAATCAGGATCCTGTGTTTCATTTAGTTGTTGTAGCCCTTAATTTTCTCCAATTTGTGACAGTTCCTCAGTCTTTGTCTTTCATGACCTTGACATTCTTGGTGAGTACTGGTCAATTACTTAGAAGAAATATTTCTCAATTTTGGTTCGCCTGATGTTATGATAGGATTGAGGTTATGCACGTTAGGCAGAAATGCCACAGCAGTGTTATTTTTGTTTGCTTCCTCTTTATTGCAATCATGTTTTCAAGGTTCATCCCGGTTGTAGCAGGAATCAGTACTATATTCATTTTTATGTATCAATAATATTCAATTATTTGGACAGACCACATTTTACTTTATTTTCTAATTCAACAGTGAAAACTGGGGTGGGCTCAGCCTGCGGAGTGAGGAAAGGAGGGAGGAGACCCCTGTGACTGGCAGGAGGTACTACGAGGTGTGAGGAGAAGGGCCAGGATTAGTACACTGGGGAATATAGGACTGCATTTGCATGGTGCAGACAATGCTATGGAGGCTACTGTAGGCTGTCGACTGGGTAGCAGATTGCTTTGAAAGTTTCATTTGTGGATAAGGAAAAACAATTGTTCATGAGGAGGGGGAGATGATCCAAGGATGAGAATGGAAACGATCTCTGGGGGTGGAAGAGCAGGTTCTCAGTGGCACCAGCTTTCTAGGGGTAATCGCGGCTCCTGGAGGCCTGCCCATCGGGCCACCAGAGGCTGGGGCCCAGACGGTGGTAGTCTCCCGGGGAGCAAGCTCAGGGAGGGGTTAGTGCTCCGGGGAGCACGTGCTCATTGCTTATAGAGAAAGGGGCGCCTCCCTTTAGGTAAATACAGTAGTTGCAAACTTCTATTTATAAAAAAGGTGTGCCGAGGGGGAGGGCAAACATTTTCATTTCCTCAACGTCGCACCCCAGCTGTTCCTTAACTAGCAGGCCTCCTAGATTTCCCGGAGCGGATGTGAAAACCGAATCGCGGGGAGAAGTAGTCTCCCAGTCAGCCCCCACCGCCCGGGTCAGCCCCAACAGCACCGCAGGGTTTGCCGCCCGCGGCCCGGGGCGCGGCGCT